TTTCTCTTTGACACCATGTCTGAAATCCCACGTGATCTGTCAAATACTAATGCATGAAAATCCTAACCTCAAAAAAATCACCCTTATATCTACGTACTAGATACATAAATAATATATACATAGCTTTGTAAATACGGACATTGAGTATGGGTGTGTATGCATTCATATATCCATTCTTGTGTTCCTCTTTGTTACCGCTGTTTACGGATGTTTGCAAGCGTTTACCTGGGCCGCGTGATGTTATATACATCCATGCATGCATAGATGACTTGTTTGCGTGTGTGAGTGAGTAAGCGGGTGCGCGCATCTCTTCTATTCTTTTTTCTTACGTTTCGTATTTACGCATTCCTCCCTACTTTGGTTTTCAAATTTGTGTATTTCATTGGTCCGCAACAGTGATGCCAGATTGTGGTAATTTCCCTATTTGAGGGATATTTTGCAACAAAAATTATTAAAAGAAAAAGGGACATTTCTAATAAAGAGGGACTTTCATTTAACACAATTAGCGATGGATGATTGATCGAAATTCAAGAATATTCGATTCTCTTACGAAATTAATCATTCTGAGTATGTGATGTGCAGTAAAATTATGTATAAGTATTAAATAAGGGCAATTTTGAACATTTTCTCACGTTAACCAATTCAAGCGCTGAGTAGGAAAGAATATTTCGACTGCTGAGTGGAAGATCGACCTATCTCGGCAGCCAGTTCGAAAACGCCCTATCTCAAAAAAGTTTTCAAGAGCGCCCTATTTCAGAATTTTATTGAAAAGCACACTATCTCAGAATTTGGTTGAAGAACGCCCTATTTCAGAATTTGATTCAAAAATAGGGCGCTCTTCAACCAAATTCTAAAATAGAACGTTTTTGAAAATTTTTTTGAGATAGGGCGTTTTCGAACTGGCTGCCGAGATAAGTCGATCTGTCACTCAGCAGTCGTTTTTTAGTTGTAACAATGATAGTTTTAAGAATTTCCAGTAAGTATTCAACAACAACACAAATGTATGTATGCATATACATTCATACATATCGGCACCTCAATATAGAAAGTTTCTTTAAAATCTGGGGTTTTTATAAGCACTGAAACTAATTTATGAATGTCGTTGATGTAATTAAATTCTTTCATGCCTTTAGTGGGTAATCTACCGACCTTTGAATTTCGAAAGAATATTATATGTGTATGTATGTTTAATATATATGTATATATGTTTTGAATTCTGTGGAAATTTTTAAGATACGTGTAATTGAGGGATTTTCCCAATATTCGTGGGTAATTTAACAGTGAATGTCTGGCATCACTGGACTGCAACAGTCTGAACGGTTGGTAGTAAAGTGGTGAGAGATTGGACAGCAGCGTTGCCGTTTTGTGGGTAATTCCCCAAATCGGGAGAAACTGTAATTTTTGTGGGTAATGTTAAGGCCGGTCCACATAGAACTTTCACGTTGGCTTTGGCGTTGGAGTTGGTTTGACAGAACGCACGTTAAAAGTATGCTTGCTACAATGAACGTTTGGCAGCGAATGCTTGGGCCACTAAATTAACATACTAACGGGAGATTAATTAATATTTCATATCAATAATTGCACTAAAAAAGATATTTCTTGCCCGCACTTGATTGAAAAGGAAAAATATTTCGCATAATTGTATTTATTTGCAACAGCTGACGAGCAACGTACGCGAAAAGTTGAGAGTTGGCCATCTTTTTGCTTTGTGTTGGCGTGAGCGTTGTCGAATTTCGGCTATGTGGACGGCTGCATTTGAATTCATGTATTCATAGTCAGCTGTTAAAGCGACGCCAACGCCAACGCAACGTCAAAGTTCTATGTGGACGGGCCTTTAGGGGAACGAAATGTTGTGGGGAAATTTGGGGAATTTGCTCTTTAATAATTATCTATGAAAGTCTTGGGTTTCATAAACACTTTCAAATTTAATTTTGACTCTTGTAGTGCCTTATGTATCAATTATTATTATTTTTTATTTAGTTAAAACTGGGCAACAATACAAGTGTAGTATTATTAGAAGCACTGTGTAATAATTACTTTAGCAGTAGCGGAGCGAATTCATACAAGGTGGTCTTGCATGAACAGCTGAGATTTTCTTAATCGTCCTCTGGATGAGATGTGGAGTGAAATGATGCATAATTATTAAAAAGTATAAAGACAATTTTGTAACTTTTCTTACGTTAACCAATTCATGCTCTGAGTAAGAAAGAATCTTTTCATTTGTAACTGGTGTTTCATGTAAAAAGCGGAACAAATTTTCTGGTGAAATGTTAAATCGCACATGATGTGCTTCAATTTTGAAGTCACCAAAAAATCATAATCGCTTACATAATGCAAATCATTTACTACTGAAATATGTATGTAGTATGTTTTGAATTCGTTGGGAATTTTGTGACATAAATTTTTAAGATGTGGCTAATTGAGGGATTTTTTTCCGATTTTCGTTGGATTTTTAACAGAATATCTGGCATCACTGAGCTGAAGTAGACTTGTGTATACTAGATGCAAATATGCGAACAGGCTCAGTTTTTCTTTGTGCTTCTGGTACTCGGGTGTGAATTTCGCTTCGGACTTTAAAAAAAACTACAAACTATTAGTGAAAATAATTACAATAAACTTTTTTTAAGTGAATAAAGATTATTGATAGAAAGAAATTGGCTTGGTAGGTAAAAATACATATAAATATTTTCTATACGATTTAGAATTTGTGACTTTCTCTATTATGTGTATACGTATGCCTAAATAGCTTCCGAGACATAAGATTCGAAAAATATGCCAACACATATGAATGTTACTCTGATATTTGTTCTGTATGGCTTTTTTGATAAATTGCAGCATAAATTATGTACCTACTCTAAAATCGGATACGTACTCACAAATTTTTTTTACCTTCATAAACCTTCGACATAACTTGTCTCGCCTCCGTCGATATACATACATATGTATATAAACATGTATGCGGCTGAGTGTATGTTGAAACTAGCCCTTTCCTTTTTAACGATGTAAATTGGCAATTCCTCCATTGCCCCCATTTTTGTAACTTCTTGCATTACCACCTTCTGTTGCGTTTTTATTGTATTGTCGCTAAAATTAAATGTCAACTTAGAACTGCCGATTATAAAAAGTGAAGCGATATAAGCAAAATTACATGAAATAAGTATACATTTTAATGACATCCCCGGCGTTTATATGGTGTATACACTGCGAATAAAAGGCAAAAAGGAATCGATGTGTAGTATTTATAAGCATGTAGTGCATATGTATGTGTGTACATAACAACCACCGTCAGTGATCCACCAGAGCAATAGCAATGCTTGGACCTAATAGTGTGCACATATGTAGAGAAATATTAAAGAGTCGAAATTAAGTACAAATTGTGTATGTACAACATATGTATGTTATTCTTATAAATAATCTACATACATATGCATGTATACATACGTACATAAATTAATTAATTTTGGAAGAAGGTCGAAATTTTATTTCAATCTAGGTCCACATTACATCTAATTTTTAAAGACGTGGGAGAGATGTCGGTTGATGGCGGGCTCAATAAGAAAACCGGTCGAATTTCGTACATACAGTATGTATGTATACATAGTAGGTGCATTTGAACGCATTATTTACTGGCACCCAACAAAAAAGTCATTGACAGCTTTTTGATGGCATGGCTTGGAAATAGAGAGAAAGAGATAGCAAGAAAATGTTAAAACAAAACGAAAAAATTAAATGAGAAAAGGAATGAAATAAAGAAATGAGGGAAAACAAGTGTTGCCACTTATTGTTGCAATTTATTCTCCCGCGTTTATTTTAACCCGTGTATGGGGATGCTCGATACGCTTTGATGTAGTGCTGGAAAAACATCGATGTTCTTGGGGAGCAACATCGATATATCGATGCATCGACCTTTTTAAATGGCGAATTTTTTTAAATGAATTCATTAACGCAGATATGCAAACCATCTTAATCTGAGATTGTTTTATAATTACAGATTAACGAGGGTCGAATTTTGTATGGCTAATCTCTTTTTCTATTTATAAATTAGGGAGTTAAGCTCGAAAATGAGGATAATCTACTTATATTAAAATCAATCAATTTTATTCGGAATTAAACATTCTAAGAGACTAATTTCTTTGGAAATTTTGGCAAAAAATGTTGTAGAAGTGGAAAAAACAAAAAAAATGGTCTGAATTTCAGATTTATGTATGTATTCCAAAAATGTTCGATATATTTACAATGAACATAAACTTCTTATATAAAAACTTAACACTGGTTAAAAAATAATAACCCAGCTAAAAATTAATTATTTAGTGCCGGTAGTCATGCGAAAAAGATTTCATGAATTACTCGGTCAGCTCTGCGACCTGACAAGGTCACTAAAAAAGTTCGTGCATTTTTTTATTTTTATTTTGTAACACCGTGATGTTTTAATTTTATTTTTTTGCTTTATTTTGCAGATGATATTTCACCAGAAACATGTAAGCCTAAAGGAAGTGTAATACTTTGGACACATAACTGGGAAAATAAGTAGGTTCAATTACTTGCCTGATACGATCGTAAAACTGGAGTTTTAAACACGTGAAATAAAATATATAGAATTGAAGAAGTGAAAATCTAAAATTTAAATTCGAACAGAAAGACATTAGGTATAAGATGTTCTCGTTCCACAAACCACGAGTGTATCGCTCGGCTGAAGGATGTTGTATTTGCCGTGCTAAGTCGAGCAGTTCACGTTTCACCGATTCGCGCAAATATGAACAAGATTCCATGAAATGCTTCGATCTGAAGTATCCCCGACACGGAGAGATTTGCAATGCGTGCGTGTTGTTGGTGAAACGTTTCAAACGTCTTCCCATAGGCAGTACTCGGCATTGGGGACATGTAAGTTGAAATTGTACACATATCGCACACTTGCCGCAAGGGTATCATATTCCAAAAAAAAAAAATCAAAAACTCGAGAAAACCAGCTGTAAAATTTTGAACATATTTTGTTCTAGCAAGCTACTGGTAATCGGTACAGCTAGAAAAACACACATAAAACATAGAAGAACAGGTAGTGGTAATTTCTGCATACTTGACTCAATTATGGCCCTATTATATATGGAAGTTGATAGGCGATGGGAAACCATGTAGTAAAATTCGCATTACGTATGGCAACTGGCTACTGACTGCCGGCTATTGAATCTAGTAACGCAATTTTCTGTTTCCCGCTTATGACGATTTTGTATTTTATTGTTAAACACATTGGGCCGAAGTTGTCAATTACTTCGAAACGTACATGTCAAAAAAGTAAATTCAGATGTTGTCTGTACATTTCTGTATAATGAGATTAATCGCTATGAATAACACATAGTACGAGACTGATTGGTAGCTATGGCTACTAGACCAGCAGCTAGGCACCAGTCACCATACATATACATAATAGGGCCATTATTTATTTATTTATTTTTTTTTTGTTTATGACACTCTTATAGCAAATGTGTGATATGTGTACATGTACGTTAATACTTTCCCAGATACTAAGTCGTTATGTTGCATTATCTTTTTGAAACTTAGAGCCTTGTTTTTCAATACCTTTTTTTTCTTTGATTATTTCCCCAATTAACATAAACAAATTTTGTGTTTAAAACGGCAGGTTGTTGACGCACGAGCCGGACCAGGCACAAAGTCCATATCAAAACATAAGAAGAGCCGTGACGATGCTGAAAATACATCAAATAATACAATAAGTAACAATACAAACTCCCGGCGTACACATAGCTCAAAATCGCTTATACCCGAAAAATTTTCAAAAATCTTTAAAAAAAGTAAGAAAAATAAATTGAATGTGGTGCCCAATACTGATAAGAAAACTGGCACACGTCGAACCTCCATAACCAGTTTAAAAACATGGGGTGACCAAAATTCGTTGTCCCACACACCCGATTCAGTAGATAGTGACTACGAAGATATCGGTGAAGGTGGGGAGGCTTGCGAAGTCAGCCAAATAGGCAATAGCTCAACTGTGCAATTTCAAACACAAACTCGCGCGTCTTCGTATCGTGCCTGCCGGAAGAGGACCAGCAGCGGCAATACCTCTATTAATATAATTTCTTTTCGGAGAAGTCTTAAAATCGGTAGTAAACGGCGAAAATGCATGCCACCCATGCGGAATCGGTCCACAATGAAGATTTTCAACGACAAAATGCAATTCTTCGATGAATCAGAATGGCAGGAGCGCAAGTCCTGTTGCGGTATGGTGTATGTGTGCCCAGAATTAACTGGAACAATATTAATCGATATGGAGAACTTCAAAGCTTGTCCAGAACACCAACGTCCGCGAGGTGTAGATGTTGCGGGTAGCAAAACAGCTAAGGAGCAGCAACCGGTGGCTCCGCAAAAGACAATCATCGCAACTTTGCCCGCAGTGGTACAAATATCAGCGCCATCAGTTGCTAGCGTTTGCCTTCCACCGCTACCCACTGCAGTGCCTGTTTTGAATCCGAATCCTACTCCAGTATTGAAGAAGCATCACCTTTTCTTCAAAAGGCAGTCTGAATGCTTTCCTCAAGTAGATCTCCCTGTGAATAATAACATAGTAATCTCTTCGAATAAGACTGAGTCCCTGGCAGCAATAACAACTACTCCGGTTATAATCAAAAGCAGTACCAACATCACCAACCATAAAACTACAATACCAACCATACCACATACATCTGCAATAAATAATGCAAATAACCCATCTACTTCCGTTTCCACACCGCTAGCATTAGCTGTTAATACTACGAATATGCCTGCCATATCGAGCATTTCTCCCTCTAGTTCCACGCCTATGAGCGGGCAAATGCCGCGACATTCTACCGCCAAAGTAACAACAATATCCCCGCCTTTGCCCGCGGCAACAAATATGGCTAGCGGAAATAGGCTATTGCATAAAATCAAGTCAGGAAAAATATTCAAGCAATCTCTGGACAAAATAGG